CCCCAAGACCGCCCCAAGAGGGCCCAAGAGGCCCCCAAGAGGGCCCCAAGACGGCCCAAGAGGGCTCCAAGACGGCCCAAGAGGCCTCCAAGACGGCCCAAGAGGGCCCCAAGAACGCCCCAAGAGGGACCCCAGGGGGGGAACACGAAACAATATTTCGAGCCCTCGGCCCTCAGAAGTCCCCAGGAGGCCCCAAGAGGCCCCTAAGAGGCCCCAAGAGGCCCCCAACAGGCCCTCAGGAGGCCCCCAAGAGGCCCCCAAGCGGCCCCAGGAGGCCACCCAAATGCCCCCCCGAGCACGCAAGCAAGTGCCAGCGACGCTACACTATGGGCCGGCGGAATGAGCGAAGCGATTCAATAATACACGATCTAATTTATACTCAGCCTCTTCTAGCAGATCGGCCCCTGCTTCGATAGCTGCCAGGGAATCAATATCTTGCTGCAAATAAAGTGCCCATGGATGCCCTTTAACCACCCTCCTGTTTGTAAGTACCTCCCCGTCCACCGCCATAATACCAAACATAGCTGCCCAGAACTGTCCGTGAAACTCCTTGAGGAGGAGGAGGAGGAGGAGGAGGAGGAGGAGGAGGAGGAGGAAGAGGAGAAGGAGGAGGAGGGGCAGGAGGTGGAGGAGCAGGCGGAGCAGGCAAAGCAAGGGGGAGAGAGAAAAGGAAGATAAAGGGGGAGGAGACAGAAGCCGTCGGGCGCTCCTGGGGCCATCCCGGACCTGTTCCGCGGCCCTGCTTTCGGCGGTCTCTGGAACCAGTCAGCAAAGGTCTCCAGAAATTGCCGAGTACTCACGGCTGTTCCGCGCGAGGAGCACGGAAGGAAGGGCCCCCCTGGCCCCCGGGGACCCGCCCACTCCCGAAACCCCGGCGTCGTGCAATGGCGGTATAACACAACGGCGACAGATGCTTTCACGCCGCTGGGGCCCTGAAAGGCATGTTCGATCCCGAGGTCGTCCAAAGAACGGCCCACGACGGAAACCGGTCCCAAGGACTGGGCTCGGTGCTCCGTGGGCCCACGTGGCCCACCACGGGGGGGCTTCACTGCCGCCAGCTTCCGTCGACCTTCTGTCGAACGCGGGATGGCGACCCCTCGACTCCTCGAAACTGTGGCCCTCCGAATTGGCACCGCGAGGAAGCACGGCGTTGGCCGTTCCTTCCGCCCGCCCATCCGCTCCGGGGGCTGCGCAAAAGGGGCGAACAGCGCATCATGGGGTGCTGCTGACGTGCGCAGAAGGGGCTCTGGTCGCGCCGTGGTCCGACGGCGCTCGAGAGCGAGTGCGTGCAGAGTAGAGCCACTTCGCCTGCTCCTCCCCCTCCGCCTCCTCCTCCTCCTCCCTCCTCCTCCTCCTCCTCCTCCTCCTCCTCCTCCTCCTCCTCCTCCTCCTCCTCCTCCCCCTCCTCCTCCCCCTCCTCCTCCTCCTCCCCCCTTCCCGCCCTCGCTTCCCAGTTCCCCCCTTCTGGCCCCGCGGACCCAGCTCGACGCGAGCCTACAGCACTCCTGCGGTGGCGAGGGCGCGCCTGTCAGGAGGCGCGCACCTCGGCGAGGACGTCGTAGCGAATCCAGCCGTGGCTGTAAGAGGCACCCTGGAGGCCCAACAGGGAAGACCAAACGCGATAAAAAACCTCGAAGACCGAACATCGGTCCTTGGTCCTCTCCTACTAATGGCGAGGACAGCAGGCGGCCGTGGCGCGCGAGGGCAGTTGCCGGCCGCCGCGGGCGGCACTGGCGGCCTCGGCCGCCCCAGAACTGCTTGATCTCCGCCCGGTACTCGGAGAGCACGACCTCTAACAGCCGCGGTCTCGGGCGATGCCGCTGGCCAGCCAGTGGGACGACGCTCGGACGTTGGCGAGGACGGCGACGAGGAGAGCGGCGAGGAGGACGAGAGCGGCGACCACGAACGACGGCGAGGAGGAGGAGCAGGCGGAAAAGGAGGAGGAGGAGGACGATGGCGAGGAGGAGGAGGAGGAGGAGGAGGAGGAGGATGAGGAGGAGTAGGAGGAGTTGGAGGAGGGTTGGAGGAGTTGGAGGAGGATGAGCAGGCGGAGGAGAAGGATGAAGAGGAGGAGGAGGAGGAGGAGGAAGAGGAGGAGGTGGAGGAGGAGTTTGAGGAAGAGTTGGACGAAGAGATGGAGGAGAAGGAGCTGGAGGAGGAGCAGGAGGTGGACGAGTTGGAGGAGGAGTTGGAGGAGGAGGAGTTGGAGGAGGAGTTGGAGGAGTTGAAGGAGGAGGGTGGAGGAGTTGGAGGATGAGGGAGAGGATGAGGATGATGATAGAGATAAGGAGGAGAGGAGGAGGAGGAGGAGGAGGAGGAGGGAGGAGGAGGAGAGGAGAACGCCGACGACGACGACGACGATGACGGCGATGCTCGGCCCGACGGGCGCCTGCCGACGCACGCGCGCGGCACGCGGGGCCCCAATGGCGGGCCGGGCCGGGCCGGGCGGGCCGGCGCTCGGCCTGCCGGCGGGGCGCAGCGGCCCTGCCGGTGCGGCCGCCGCGTGCGGCGGCACGCCGGCACGGCGCAACCGGGCGGAGCCCGCCCGCGCGCCGCGCCGCTGCCGCGGGCCGCGGCCGCGGGCGCCGCGGCCGCGGGCGCCGCGGCCTTGTCGAGGATCCGCAGGCCGTGTGTTCGGACGCCTGCCAGGTGGGTCCGTGCAGAGGGGGCTGGAGCATCGCGCCGCACCGCCGATGTGCCAGCGACGTCGGCGGTGCAGCGGCGACGCAGGCGTGGAGAACATCGGGCTCAACATCGAGCCGCATCGCCGACGCATCGGCGATGCGGCGCGATCCTCCGACCCCGTCTGCTCCGAACCCATTCAGGAGGCCTTGATGGTTAGCGCCGACGTGTGCTTTTCCCCCGAGGCCCTGTGCGAATGGGAGGGGAGGATCCGAGAGCCAACCCGTACCAATCATCCGCGGGGTCGGGCCACTCGACGTTTTCGCCTCTGACAAAGGGAACCGATCGTATATATCTCTACGCCGGGGCAGTGCATGAGAAGAAGAGGTAGGTCAGAGAGGGTACGCACACCAACGCGGGCACAGGCACGTACACACAGGCACAGACACAGGCACAGAGACAGAGACAGAGACGCAGACACAGACACATACACAGACACACATACACACCACACACACACGCAGACACACAGACACACAGACACACAGACAGACACACAGACACACACACACACAAGCACACACACACACCCTTCGACACGACGCAGGCGGTATGGGCTGAATGGGGTAGACACACGTTATGCCAGATTTTGTTGGACCAGCTCGACAAGGGTCCTCTGAGCTTCGGCTCTCCAAGCCGCCTTCTCGCTCGTTGCATACATGCCGAGCGGAGGGGAACAGCAAATGAAAGGGAGAGCCATTGAAATAGTTCCTCCCCTAACGTGCCCCGCCCAAACTCTTTGCTGGGGAGCGAGCCGAGTGTAAGCGGCAGCGCGCGAGGCGAACGTCAGAAACGCATCTGTGGCCCAGGCTGTTCCTGCCGGGGGCCAGGCCAAGTGTAGGCGGCCGTTGTCCTTCCCTGACCTCCGCCTCCTCTCGGGTCGGGCGAAAGGGGGGGATAGCAAAGGGGGGGGTTGAACATCAGCTCACGTAGCGGATTTTCCCGGCGCCTCTCGGCGCCGGAGGCGGCTATGTATCGAGGAATGGGCCCCTCGGTGGGGCCGAAACCAGCTGCACGCAGCAAATTTCGTAACCCCCCTTTCCCTATCCCCCCCTTGCGTTCGGCCCGATCCTCCCTCCCAGCTTGTCCTCCAGCTTGCCTTCCTGCCTCCCTCTTGGACGCTCGCCCGGCCTGGCGCGCGGGCGGCGGCGCGCGGCGGTCGGACCGGGGCGCCGGCGCTCCCGCCGCCCGACGGGCCGCAGCGTGCCGGAGGCCCGGGATGTGGCTTCGAGCGTGCTGCGTGCTCCAAAGAGGGTTGGGCGAGGCGTGCCCGCCGGGAGGGGCGCTGCGTTGGCCCGGCGAGGTTCGGTGCCAAGCTCCTCCTCCTCCTCCTCCTCCTCCTCCTCCTCCTCCTCCTCCTCCTCCCTCCTCCTTCTCCCTCCTCCTCCTCCTCTCCTCCCTCCTCCTCCTCTCTCCTCCCTCCTCCTTTCCTCCTTGCGGCCTCGCGTCTTCTCAACTCTGCTCGTGCGCGATCGCACGGCACGCGACCGCCCTTGTGGCGGGGGCGCCTGCAAGAGGCTCGGGCCAGCAGCCGAGCAGCCCGAGCAGCGGCATGGCTGTCCGAGCGGAGGGGGGAAAGCTGCTGCCGATGGCACGCAGGAGGGAGGAGAAGCAAGTAATTCGGAGGTTGATAGACCTCCTACCCTGACACGTCGAGTAACGAATTGGCCGTTTTCGGCTCGCGAGAGGGCGTCGCGGCCGTCATTCTTGCCGGTCCAGGTCCGTCGGTTTCGGCCCTAGGCCGTTTTCACTTCAGGGTGGTTTACTAAAGGGAGGTTTGTCCACCGCCGAGTAGTGGAGGACGGGGGAAGAGGAGAGGAGAGAAGAGTAATGTGCTCAGGGGCCGATCAAGCGATGGCTCATTGCAGATATAATCCACCACCGTGGCTGCTTTCGATCGAAATGCAGGCGGGGGCGTCATAATCAAAAGATCGCTACCACCGGAGATCTGTCTCTACCAAAAGACATCGGAATCGCGAAAACCGCACTCGACGAAATTATCCGGCCTTGCGGAACGTGACCACTATGCGAGTTTGCAACTTGCCAGAGCACGTAGGACCAACGATCAAACTGCGCGTTCGAATTTGAGTGGTCACTGTCTGGGAAATGTTATCCATTGACGCTGTGTTCGTCTGAATGATTATCGTGCAAAGCCGCATGGCAAAACAGAGAAGAGAGCAATTAGCCACAGACAAATATAACAAATGCATCGCAATCATGTCACACCATGGCCGAACCACTATCAAGCCAGGTAGCAAGTCGTAGCGAAAGACTTGCAGGCCGAAGATGAGTAGTTACCCAAGGCCATCTGGGGGCAACTAATGGCCTGAGGCCATACCGCCCGAGGCGAGCTGCGTTGCTGTGCCGCCACCTTTACGCACTGACTCGGGGCCACCATTGACGTGCGTCCCTGTGTAGGTGGACTTGTCGTCGTGGAATTTCACGTGGTCGGCGACCGTGCCGTTCAGCGTCGGACCCCCTGCGCTGCAGATCGCGTCACGGATGGCCTCTGCGCTGGTGCCCTTCTTCGCCGCGACCTGGTCCAAGGCGGCGCTGAAATGGCCGAAATCGATCCTGCGTTGGCCCTTCGTCACGACTTTTGTGAAGATAAGGTCTGCGTCCGTGGTGGTGAAACTCTTGTCCACAAGCTTCACGTCCTTGCACAGCTTGACGAACGACTTCTGGTCCATATCTGGCTTTCCGTCGGCGAAGTTCGAGAAGGCGTCCTGCAAGGAAGTCGCAGCGGCCGCCGCAGCCGCTGGGCCATGGGATGGCGGCGTGGTAGCGGGACCCTTGGACGGCGCTTTCGCGGCGGCGGCTTCGCCCTCAGGCTTGGGCGATGCAGCTGGTGTGGTCGAGCTCTTCCCGGCGTCACGCTTCAGCTGGGCGATGACCTCGTCCTTCTGCGCCACAACTTTCCGCAGCTCCTGGGGAGAGCAAAAGGTACCGATACCGCTACTCCCTGAACCTCCGCCGGGGTGCGTTCTGACCAGAATTTCGAGGCGAATCCAGCGGTGGCGACGAGGGCCTCCCAGGAGGCCCAAAAAGGGGAAAACGAGCGAAGGGTAGCGGTATGGTACCTTTTCCTCCTCTGAGCTCCTCAACCTCCGCCTTGCTTCGCGCCAAAGCCGTCTCGAGGTCCTCTCGAGAGTCGGCCACCTTGGTCCGCAGCTCCGTCGCCTTCGCCCCTGGCGGCGGCGACGACGGCGCACCCTTCACGCCGGCGGCCTTCTCCAAGGCCTGGGCCGCGGGTGGCCCGAGGAGCTCGCTGGTCCGCAGCTGCTGGCAGATGCCGTCGAAGACTTCTGCCGGAATTTTCACGACCCGCTCTCCCCGGGGGTTGCCAGAGGTGCTCCTGGCCCAAGGTGCCCCCGGCTTGTCGCTCCATCCTGGAACCTCTGGGGCCATCTGGGCCTCGCCGTGGGTGCTCTGGATCGGGGATGGACCGACCCCCCTTTCGTAAAACGTGGTTTCGTGCAAACGACCCGAGGCCCACTCCTGGCGGGCGCAAGCCTGGAAAAGAACGGCCGCGGCGCCCCCTCGAGAACCGAACACGGACAAGTCACTAATCGACGTGTCACTGTTGGGGGTTCTGTCCGCCCCCGACTGGGGCCCGTGGGCGCCTCCTTGGAACTCCCGGGGGCAGCTCGGGCCCGGGGCACTCCTCTGGCAACACCCGGGCTCCGCCGCACGCCCCCGCCGCAGACCCGGGCTGCGAGTGGCGCGGTTCCGAGTGGCGTGGCTCCGAGAGGCGTGGCTCCGCGAGGCGTGGCTCCGGGTGGCTGCCGCTGTGGCCTGTGCCCATGCCGGACGAAGCGAGCTGCGTCGCGGTGCCGGTGCCCTTGGCCACGCGGTCGGGCCCGCCGTTGACGTGCGTCCCCGTGTAGGTGGACTTGTCATCGTGGAAGCGCACTGCGTCGGCCTGCGTTCCACTGAGCGTTGGTCCTGATGATTGCGTGATCGAAGACTTCACATCCTCTGGAGACGTCCCCTTCTTCGTGGCCAGATGTTCCAAAGCTGTGCCGAATTGCTCGAAACTGATGCGGCGCTGGCCCTTCGGCGCGACTTTGGCAAAGATCAGGTCCACGTCCGTGGCTGTGAGCTTCTTGTCCACAAGCTTACAGTCCTTGCACAGTTTGATAAAGGTTTTGCCGTCCATGTCCTTTTCTTTCCCGCAGAAGGTCGGGTCGGGCGAAAGGGGGGGATAGCAAAGGGGGGGTTTGAGAATCAGCTCACGTAGCTGATTTTCCCGGCGCCTCCCGGCGCCAGAGGCGGCTATGTATCGAGGAATGGGCCCCTCGGCGAGGCCGAAACCAGCTGCATGCAGCAAATTTCGTAACCCCCCCTTTCCCAGTCCCCCCCTTTCGCCCGGCCCGAGAAGGCCGCGAACACCTGCTCCAGCTCCGTCGACATCGTGCTCCCCTGCCCTTCAAGAAGGTCTTCTACGGAGCAGCGGCACGGCCGTGGGGCCAACCAGAACGGCTTGAGACCAACCTTGGGCCAAGAGGGCCACGGCGGAGGAGTGTGCGGGTCGTGGCCCTACGTCGTGCCCGTCCCTCTACAGGAGGAATATTCAAAAATAATCAAAAAATGCTCAGGGGACTATTTTTGGAGTGTTTTTTTTTGGGGGGGGGGGGGACAATTTTGGACTATGTTTTGAATATCTTGCTTATTTTTCGTCGAAGATCCCCCTGTAGTGGGACACGCCCGACTTAGTCGTGGCCGCGGATCGATCCGGCTCGAAGGGTGGCGCGGGACGAGCCCGAGGGCCCGGGGGAGCGGCCGCAGAGGCAGAGCACGAGGGGCCCGAGGGGACGCGGGCAGGGCCCAGCATGTCCTGGGCATCGCTCGGACGTCCATTCCCTGTGTTTTTTTCGGTTTCGTGAGTGGCTTTTTCGCAAAATGATCAAGGATGCTCCTCGACGGTGCTCGCCGAAGGAAAAATGCACACGTCCGAGCGATGCCTAGGGGGGGGGGGGGGGGGGGGGCGAGGCCGAGGGAAAGCTTGATGCCCTGCGAGGGGGGGGGCCGGGCCCCCGAGCACGGACCCCGAGGGGCACGCTCTGGAGTCCCAGGTTTGGAAGGACACGGACTTACAACGTATGCAGAATTTTTCGGAAGTCGGCGCGAATTGCTTGGATCGGTGGGCCCCCTCCCATGGCGCGTGGAGCGCGCCAGGGGCGGCGCCAGAGGCGCCGCCAGGGGGTTCCAGCGCAGGTCCCCAGAAATCCACGCGGACCTCAAATAATCATGCTTCATCGACTTTTTGTTCTTGAGATTCGTTGATATTTGTTGTTTGTCTTCTTCATGTTTTTCACAAACATCCTGTGGTGTTGGGTGCTCGTTCTGAAGAGACAGCGCCCCGCTTCTCCTCCTCCTCCTCACTCCTCCTCCTCCCCATCCTACCTCCTCCCATCATGGTCATCATCATCGGCATCATCATTATCGTCATCATCAGCGTCACCATCACCATCACCATCACCATCACCATCGTCATCATCATCATCATCGTCATCATCATCATCATCATCATCATCATCATCATCATCATCATCATCATCATCATCATCATCATCATCACGACCGTCATCATCACCATCATCATCATCATCGCCGTCATCATCACAATCACCGCTCGCACGTCTCGTGGCCCCATAGGGAGCTCCACCCATGGCCCCAGCGGCACCGTCCCCATGCGACCGCCACACCCATTTCGGCACACCCCCTCCCCACCCAGCACAGCGTTTCGTGGCCCCATAGGGAGTTCCACTTGATGACCCAGTGGCGGTGTCCACAAACGTCTTCCCCACCCAGCACAGGGCTTCGTGGCTCCATAGGGAGCTCCACCTAAGGCCCCAGTGGCGGTGTCCACATGCGTCCCCCCGGGTTTCGTGGCCCCATAGGGAGCTCCACCTAAGGCCCCAATGGCGGTGTTCACATGCGTCCCCCCGCCCGCCAGCACAGCGAACCGTGGCCTCACAGGGAGCTCCGCCTAAGGCCCCAGTGGCGGTGTCCACATGCGCCCCCCCCGCCCAGCACAGCGTTTCGTGGCCCCATATGGGGGCTCCACCTAACGCTCCAGTGGCGGTGTCCACATGCGTCCCTCCCCACCCAGCCAAACGTTTCGGGGCCCCATAAGGGGGCTCCACCTGAGGCCGCAGTGGCGGTGTCCAAACGCGTCTCCTCCACCCAACACAGCGTTCCGTGGCTCCATAGGGAACCCCACCTAACGTCCCAGTGGCGGTGCCCACATGCGCCCCTCCCCACCCAGCACAAGGTTTCGGGGCCCCATTGGGAGCTCCACCTAAGGCCCCAGTGGCGGTGTCCACATGCGTCTCCACCACGCAGCACAGCGTTTCGTGGCCACATGAAGGGGCTCCACAGGCCCCAGTGGCGGTGCCCCCATGCGTCTCCCCCACCCAGCACAACGCTTCTTGGCCCCACAGGGGGCTCCACCGAAGGCCCCAGTGGCGGTGTCCACATGCGTCTCCCTCGCCCGACGCAGCGTTTCGTGGCCCCATAGGGAGCTCCACCTAAGGCCTCAGTGATGGTGTCCACATGGCCTCCATAAGGAGCTCCACCTGATGCCCCAGTGGCGGTGTCCACATGCGTCCCGCCCACCCAGCACAGCGCTTCGTGGCCCCATTGCACATGCGTCCCCTCCCCACCCAGCATAACGTTTCGTGGCCCCTATTGGGAGCTCCAACTAATGCCTCAGTGGCGGTGTCCACATGCGTCTCCCCCACACAGCACAGCGTATCGTGGCCCGTAGTGAGCTCCACCGAATGCGATACCGACAACTGCGTATGGTTGGGTCCTTCTCCAGGCTAAGTTTTGTTGTTTTTGAGGGGGGGAGCAGGAGAAAGGGAGAGGACAGAGCTAGTATACACCCTGTGGTCGACCAAGGCGGGAGCGGACAAATCCTGTTCCCCACGAGGAGGAGGCGAAGGAGAGGGGGAAACGGAGGAAGGGCAAACAATGCACTGGACTCATCGCCCGACTGCCCGTCTGTCTGGGCGCCCACCTGACTTGGTCGTGGAACCGCCGAAAAATCACTTACATACTTTCGACTCCGGCAAGGTGGAAGAGGGGACGAGGGGAGGGAGACGAGGAAGAGGACGACGAGGAAGAGAAGGAGAGGGGACAAAATACAGTATCCAGGGCCGCGCAATGTCATCTAGTGGTGCAATCTATGTGGTGCAGTTAATCTTGACCGTCTTGAAGCTGTCCTCTCCACTGCTCGTGCAAACATCCCACCCTCCCACCCGCAACTTGGTCGCAAGACATCTTCAGACAAGACCGTGACGGTAGGTACTACATGGCAATTGGCCACGACACCGACGCCGACGACGACAGCGACATCGACGACGACGGCGCCGCCGACAGCGACTGCAACGACACCGACGACGTCTCCAACGTTTTCGACGACGACAACGACGACGACGACACCGACGACACCGACGACGACGACGACGACGACGCCGACGCCGACGACGAAGACGACGTCGCCAACGGAGACGACGACGAGGGAGGAGAAAAAACGACGACGGCGACAACGACGACAGCGACGATGGAGGAGGGAAGACGGCGACGACGCCAACGACGAAGAAGGAGGAAGGACGTCGACGCCGACGACGACAACGACGAGGGAGGAGGGAAGACGACGACGACGACAACGACGACGAAGACGACGACGACGGCGACGAAATAGGAGGGACGACGACGAGACGCCGACGACGGACGACGACGACGAGGGAGGAGGAGAACGACGAGGGAGGAGTGAAGACCACGACGACGACGACGACGACGGCGACGAAATAGGAGGGACAACGACTAGACGCCGACGAAGACAACGAGGGAGGAAGGACGACCACGGCGACAACGACGACGGAAGCGACGACGACGCCAAGACGACGACGACGACGACGACGAGGAAAGACAGAAGACGACGACGGACGACGACGACGACGACGAGGGAGGAGGGAGGACGACGACGACGACGACGACGCAAGAGCGCGCGCGCACACTTTTGTTGAAAACCCGTGTTGCGAAACCTTGTGTTTTTGTAGGTTTTTTGGACGCACGATTTCGAAATCCTTCCGAAACCGAAGGTTTTTGAAGGATTTCGGCATACGCCCGCGACGACGCGCGCGTCTGCACTTCGTCCCATTTTTTGCAGAGGATTCTCGCGACGGCACACGCGCAAGGGCGTTCGACAGATTTCGACATGCGCGCGCGCGAAGCCCGTTTGGTAGCATTTTGTGAAAATCTGGGAAAACCTATGGTTTTCTTAAGATTTCGCAAGAGCTCGCGCGTAAGCTTTTTTAGCAAATCAGTGTTGCGAAACCATGTGTTTTTGTATGTTTTTTGGAAATTCAATTTTGAAATCTCTCCGGAACCGAAGGTTTTTGAAGGATTTCGGCATGCGCGCGCGACGACGCGCGCGTGTGCACTTCGTCCAATTTTTTGCAAGGGATTCGTCAAAAAGTGCTATGTTAGAACAAAACATGTCACCGCATAGTGTTTTTTTACAAAGGACCCTCAGGGGGGGAGAAACCGGCCTGCCTGGGATGGTATGATTTCATATTTAGGATGGACGAGTGTGCAGAATATATATATATATATATATATGAAATCATACTATCCCAGGGAGGGCCGATAAGTCCGGGGGGGGGTAGAGTCTATTCTCTTTTTAGAAAGGAGAATTGACTACCTTGCACCACGCTTGACCACCTCCACTGCTCGCGCAAACATCCCACCCACCCACCCGCAACTTGGTTTGCAACATCTCTTAAGACCGTGACGGTGGGTACCAAATTGCACTTGGCAACGACTGGCAACGACAGCGACGCCGACGACGACAGCGCCAACGACGACGACGACGCCGCCAACAACGACTACGACGACACCGACGACGTCTCCAACGACTTCGACGACGCCGACAACGACGACGACGACGACACCGACGACGACGACGACGCCGACGCCGACGACGACGACGATGACAACGACGACGACGACGACGGAGCCGACGACAACGACGACAACGACGACGACGACGTCAACGACGCCGACGACGACGACGACGACGACGACGACGGCGGCGACGACGACGACGCCGACGTCGACGACGACGAAGACGACGACGACGACGCCGAC